TTGTAATGAGCAAATTATGGTCTCATTGTACTAATTTGCTTATCAATCTGTCAGTGTTGAGACCTGTTTTGTTCCACCCTTCCCTGTCATCACTGATTTGAGAGTTGTTCTTGGCACCAGGGAATCTTGAGAGTGCTGTCACGAGCTGCACACAGGAGGTGGTTCCAACAGCAGGAATTGGAGCCGAAATAATTCATTGTTTATGTAAAACTAGAATTCATTTCCTTAGCATCAGCACCAGGCTCTGTTCCTGAGGTTGTACGTGTGTGGATCTCCGTAGACACCTTGAACTGACAGTAGTTTGTTGCACTGGGAAATTAATGTTTCCTTTCTTTCCACAAATAAAGGAATTAACAGCCAGTTGCCCTCTGAAGAAGTGGCTCTTGCCACTGTCTGCGGGTGGTCTTCCAGGCTGTGTACTTTAGGATTGACGTTTAAGTTAAAACAGCTCTTGGCACCACAGATGATGAGTTTTCAATGGGTATGACACACACACAAATTGGATAAGAAGACAAAAAGACACTGTTTTAGATAACTTGGCCAATGAGAATTTTACTGCAAGGCTTATTTTTAACTGACGTGATGAGTTTTATGCATCTGCCCACTTGAAATGTTCTGGTTATGAAACTCCCTCTTTGTTCACTGCTTGGCTCTTGATTTCTAAATCAGGCAAAGCAGGCAGTGTGTGCTAATAAACGGACAGAAAAAAGAAGAAGAGGCTAATGCGATAAACTGACGTCTTCACAGGACTGTTTCGCATTAAAGATGTTGCTTTGGCTTTTGCTTACAGCTTTTCACCACTTCTGGTTTGTTGGGCAATCCCAAATCATACGTACAAATAAGTGGTTGACAGAGTACTCTGTGTTTGAAGCATCCTCCCCGTGGCTGGTACTCAGGTATAAATATCTGATGTTCAAAATCTTTAAATGCCTGATGAATCAAAGTATAAGCTGATTTTCTTTCCTATCTGTGATTTTTTTTTTTCATGTAAATGTCCAGTTAGATGATTTAAAAAAGGCTGCAAAACCCCCCCAACAAAACAGTTTTCACCTAATAGGATATTAACTTAAGAAGTTAGGAAAATATACTGTGAAAAACATAATACCAAAGAATGTAATCCTTTAAAGCTCACTTATGCCTATAACAACATAACTGGCATTATTAGATTATTTTTCTATCAGTCTGTAAGACTGAGAGACTAATTAATATATGGCAAAGAATGGAGATTTGTGGTAGCAGTCTTTTGAATAACAGCACAAAGTAGTTCAGATTGTTTAAAAATGTTTTAGTATTTTTATAGAATGCATATTTTTAAAAGCTATTAATATTAAAGTTCACATCTTCAAAATAATACGGAGACGTTTCGGAAAATTTCAGTACTTATTCCATTGGGAATATTCTGCAGCATGAGGAAAAAGAGGCATTAGCCAATCATATCACAACAAAGAGCAACAAAAAGACAACATGTCACTGTGCACTGATACACTTTATTCGGGGCAGAAGTGTGCAGTTTGCATAGCTGCAAAACATGAGCCAAGAATTTACCAATATTTGCAAAACACTCCTTTTTTACTCTCTTCCAACGTGTCTATAATTTGAACCAGACTGCTGGAGATAAAATGAGATACAAGGGCAGAATCTGAAAGCTCTCTCTCACATGTCACCTTCCAGCTGTTAGGAAAATCTAAGCTGTTACTGTTCTTGTCTTGGTTGCCTCAGAATTGCCCCGTTACTTCCCGGGGAAATCTGTCATGGAAGCTGCTGTATTTTGGTAAGCAGACAGTATCACAGCTCAATCAGTGTCTCGTAATGAAGGACCTGGAGGTACTTACACGTGGACTGAGAGATACTCTGAACATTTCTGTACTACAGGATTCAGCATAAATGTTGCTTTGACCTTCCCCTGTTCAAACTTCTGGTTCACACCTGGAGAAAAATGCTGTCATTCTGTTTCTCAGCGGTAGCGATGACACCTCATATAATAAAACAACCCCCAAACTACGCCACTACCAACTCTGTCAGTTTGGTCTAGGTTTAAAAGTAAATTGAATAATACTTCAAACCTTTCCATTTTTCCATTTCCAGTCGGCTGGAAGAGGAATAAACCAGTCTATTTAGAGAATTGTCAACCACAAGGTGACCTCTTCTTGAATCTGACCTTTTAGCTCAGCTTCATGGGTGGGTTTGGCTGAGAGCATTCGTTATGCCTGGGTTGCCAAATTCGAAGAAGCAGGTGGAGTTGGACTGTAAGATGTTTACTTGTGTTATGCTGGAATTCCTTCGCTGTTGCCTGAGGCTCTACTTTGGAGGCCTTCAGAGTTCAAACTGATTCTCCATTCTTGCCTGAAACATTTTGTTCTTACGTTTCTCGCCTGTCAATGGGCATTAGAGGAACCTGAAATGTTGTCCCTGTCTAAAGACAGAGCTAAAAGTAATCCCATATTTTGTGATGCTCAAAGCATCTCTGTTTTGTGCAAAATGCACAAAAATGAGGAACACACACCAGGATCCTTAGCAGAGACCCTTTGCTGAGCCCCCTGTACAAGCTACATGAGAATGGCAGATGGTCTAACCTCAGGGACAAAGTATAAATGACCCCAATGGGGAAACAGCATTAGTACAACCAACCAATCCATTTAAAAGGTGTACAGGAAATAAACTAGGAAAAACAGGGGATAGATATTTTCCTTTTGGATTTCCTGTGTAATAACAAGTTATTTTTATGTTAGAGGGAAGTATGCTCCATGGTATGACCCATAATCTGTGTCCCTTTGCTGTCCCCATACCTAGACCACACTGTAGCTCCCTTCTTGTCTGTGCTATGGACTTTAATTCCCTTGGAAACCAAACACATTTACAATATCACTAAAAGCAACAAGTATAATAACAATAATCTTTTAAATGGTACTGAACCATATATTTCAATTTTATTGTTGGAAGAGGCATCATGTAACGTATTTTTCTATTGTACTTACATGTACAGCAAACCTTATTTCATAGGTTCTTATCACTATGTTAAAAAGCAGTGTAAGATGAGGATGTCCACATCTCTTAAGTTTACTTCCAAATATTTCCTCTCTAAACCAAAAATGTTTTCATTCTTCTTCGTCATTAATCCTACTTGTGATCAATTATTGTATTTCTATACACATTTTTTAACATTAAGCTAAATGCTGAAGGAATTATATTCCCAGTGTTGAGTCCAAAATATAATAAATAATACATAATTTAAAAATCTGGCATACTTACAATATAAAATAAAGGAATCACGTGTAATTAAAACAGTATTTCACTCAGCTTTGATGCAATTTTACAAATTCTCTTTTCTCAGCCTAGATTTGGGCAATGATCAGGGATCACTTGGTGTTCGGGAAGAAGTTGCTGCTATCCTTTCAGCTGAAAGATGAAGCATTTTCAAGAATGTCACAGGAAGTTTTAAATAAATGACACAGCAGCAAATGGTCTTAGAATATGGTGCCAGCAAAGCAAATGTAAGTGGTAATTAGGGTGATTAGAGTGATGCCTGAACATGGTATGGAATATATAGCACGCAAAGCAGAGACCCCAGTGGGAAATGTCTAGGACAACACAACACAGAATGCTGTTCTGGTCCTCTGTTGTAACCAATTTAATAGGCTTGAAACTGATTTATCATGATTAACAAGAGCAGGTGACTGGCAGGCTCTGAGCAGAATATTCTGTTAATCCTTCCTTTCTCTGAAGTTCAAACAATATGTAGTACATTTATTTAAAAAAAAACAAACCCATTTTCTGTCTCTTGAAAAAAATCTTAAAACCAAATCAAGTTTCATTGATGATACCCTGCCCCTTTAATAAATACATTTGGTTATGACTGTTTTATACAATAAATCAGGCATGGTGCTGATGTGGGAAGACTCCCAAAACTTTGTTCTGTCTCAGCAGGCTCTTGGAAAGTGTCATCATTATTGGTTTTAACTTCAAAATTTAAAGTGCCAAACAAAATACTGGTAGAAGTTTGCTTTGCTAGTGCATACTGTATGAGACCATTCTCACCACCTAATATCAGCTCTCACTCACTTAGTTGAAAGGCAGGAGGACAGCAGGGATTCAGGCTCTGCAGAAGAAGTATATTCAGAAAGTTTTGTATGCGACTGCCTTTTGAGGATCAGCTCAGAGACCCAGCAAGAATCTACAAGATCTTGTGTGAAAGACTCACTTTCCCTGAATGAAAGACTTAATGCAGGATGCAAGCAAGTGGAAGTAGGCATCAGTATGTTCCTCCTAGGTGGCCACTGTTGAAACCTGCTGTTTTCCTTCATTTGCTGTTTTTAGCCAGCACTTTTGTCACTGGAATAATAGTGAGTTCATCCCATAGCTTTATAAGAGCAATTGGATGGCACTGATACTTTCCATGTCCAAATAAGCAGGGAAGTTGTTAGTCTTCTCTCTAATCTAGTTCAATCTTCTTCCATAGTCCACAAAAGTTTCCTGAAGAGTTGCTCTTAAATTTAATTAAAACAAACAAACAAAAGTTGTTAATATTTCAGATGCATTCTCCCACCCAAATTAGGCTGTGGATGAAGGATTTTAGGAAGGGTGTGCCAAACGCTGAGGACTGTTGGGATCCAAGTCCATTAGAGCAGTTAGTGCCTAATTAAGTGCTAATTTATGCTCTGTGCAATCTCGTAGAGGGTAGAAAGTTGGCTCAGGCTAGTTGGAAAAACAAGATTTAGCTGTAACACGTGAAAACATCTACTACTTTTATGAATACAAAACCTACTTTGTTTTATGAGTTGAGTGCGCTGTAAAACAGGGCTAAACTTTTATCCTGGTTTGGCTGGCTTCCTCTTACGGTTTCAAAGGTTTCACGAACATTCATTTTCCTGTATCCTCAGAAGTCACAGAATATGCTAAAGACAAGCTATCTGGCAGCCAATTTTCCATTTCCTTCAAAGGGCAAACTTAGCTGCCTTCTGCAACAGCAGAGTTGAGAATCCATTGATGCTCACAGTGTCTTTATTCCCTACTTCACAGAATAAACAAAAATTTTAGCTAAAGCTGAATAAGCCAGGAACTGGTGGCAACTATTTGAGTCAGGCTTTCAAAGGAGTGACCTTCCTAACTTCCCTGCATGCTACAGCAAACACAAACATCTTTCTTGTCCAAGCAGGAAATGTATCTTAAATCCTAAAGAGAAGTAATGTTAAATTTTGGAGTCTTGGCCTCCACTGAGACCTGTCAGTCATCTCTGATGTAGCTCACGGGAACGTTCAAATTGCCACACCTGGTTTGCATTGTTGTCACATCCACACAAAAACAAATTCTTCTCATCCTCGTTCTTTGCTGCCTCTATGCATTTGCCAGAAAGGACATGGACAATTGTTCCATTCTACAGGATGAGAGAAGAAGGGAAAGAAAGAACAAATTAAAAATAAGGTAATAAACAGTAGGTCATGTTTCTGAAAATTTTTACATACAATAGATCACCAGTAATGACATGTTAAAAAATTTTTAAGTACTGCTCTGAACATAATGACTAGGTTTAGCTTTGAGCCCGGGATATGATGAGTATTCATAATTCCTTTCAAAGTTGACAGGAGTGGTAGGTACAGAATGCAGTAAATCTCTTTTCTACCACTATTTGTTTCCCATGGGTACAGGTTGTCATCAGCATCAGCTACAGTACTATAGGCCACAAAATTTCAAAAAGACCAGTGCTTCCCTTAGGAATCAAAACAAGTTACAGCAGGAACTGTACCAGAGGGTTGCAGCATCCTTACAACTACAGTAACTGCTATTTTCCCAGGCTGTCCTGGAGCAGGATATTTTTCTGTCTTGTAGAGGAGTTCCTGCTCTGCTGGGACTGAATAACACAAAATTCCTCTAATTTAAAGTTTGTTCTTCTCTTACAATGGAGGAGGAATTTTAATGTTTTCCCCTACTCCCAGTGGCTCTCATTTGGGAGGGTTCAAAATTCCCAGATACTTCCTCTATCCAAAAGAAGTATGCAAGGATTTGACCTGCTTTTATTTTCACAACCACTGATTCTAATTCTATTCCTGTAAGGCCATTAAGACAAACAGTTAAAACAAGGAGATACGTATTTTGGTAGGGTTCCTGTAATATGCATTTTTAAAACAAATTTACTCCACACAGACAGTGCAAACAGGCAAGAGGCATCCTAAATTTCCCGAGTGGAAATGGTACAAGTGAAACTTGCTCTTCAAATACCTCATCCCTTCCCCCCACACGAATCCTGTCAGTCAGCCAGTGATCCCACAGTCACTGTCAGCTGCTTTCCCCTCACGACAGAGTCACTACTGACCTCCTGGACATCCCAGTGCTGGTGGCTGTTATCTGTCTCCTTGGTACAGTTCTGAGGGATAACCTTCCCGTGTCTGACATCAAAGCAAAACAGTGGAGCAGAACCAAGCCGGATTTCCTTCATGCTGTTATATTCAAAGTGCTGGAAAAGGGAGGGTTTGGTTGAACAATGAGGGAAGGACATCTCAATTAATTTTCAAATGTTAAATAAAAAAAAATAATTTCCTGTACATGTTTGTTAAGATGCAACCCAAACGTGAATGACAGAGACTCAACAGCCTTGACCCTGCCAAGCAGTCCCCCCATCAGCTAATTCTGGCATAACTATTTACCTAAGGAAAGGCTTTGTGGACTGTAATTATGTATAAAGTAAACCCATGCTATCATAACATTTTCTAGTTCAATAAATATTTGAACGGAGAGTTGTTTATTACAGTGGCCACACATATTGCAATTAGAAAAGTGCCTGCAGCTCAGTGTGAGCAGCAAAACTTGCTTGGGGCTTGTACTAAATACCTGCAGTCAGTCTGTACTGGTTTGGTTTCTCCTAATGCATGAACTTGCTAGTCTAATGCCAGCTTGAGAGTCTACATGAATTTCCCTCCTGTCTTTGACTGCAATTTAGGCACTAAACTACAGTTTTATGCACTAATGCGGAAACCCATTCCACTTATTCTGGAATTGTTATATAGTTTTAATGCCCAGACTTTCTGTGCTCCAAACACTACCAAATATGCTAGTAGACAGGCACTTAATGATGCCTGCTGGAGCAAAGTGTGGGTATCCGGCCTCAGGGACACATGGAACATTGCCATTTTTCAAATGACAGCTGCAGGAGAGTGGGCATCATTGCCTTTGCACATGCCTAATTTTGAATGTACCAGTATTTCTACCAGTGTCAACTCAGCCAATCACATGTGGAAGTGACTGCCTTCTGGGTAGTCCCTAGATCAGATGCAGTGCCTACAGAATTAAAGTGTACGGTACCTGGGTGAGACTGTCACTGCAATGGGACAGTTCAATAGAGCCTTCTGCAATAGCTGTTCCAGGTCTGTAATTTGCACAGAAGCCAACACCAGTATTGAAAAGCTGTAAGAAAAGGTTTCTACTGAAATGAAGCACAATCAGATAAAACAAAATATCCTTCAGCTAACTTTGTTGTGATTGTATCCCTCTGTAAGATATGGTTTTGCTCAAAATTCAGGCGATTTTTTTTTTTCAGACTAGATTTTGCATATTGATTTTGCAAACTTATCCGATACAAAAAACAATCTCACCAAAGGTCAGTGTTACTCAGTGAGGTTTTATGTAAGTTAGAGATACCCGCTTGTGGTTTTAACTATTATGATAGTTAAAGTAAGTCTTTTTTTTTTAACACTAAAATTACACTTCAGCTGGACACTGTACTCACAAGATAACCAAGATATATCAGAAGAGAAAAAAACCAAACATGACAATTCTTGTGATCCACACTCAGTTCTTACACTCTTTTCAAACAAACTTTGATAATCAAGAACAGACAAAATAGTAAAAGGACACAGGAAAATCTGTCTACAGATAGCAGAATGTGACTTAATTAGGAAAAATTGTTGCCTCGTTGGGGGAAAATCCCTTTCAGTAAGGCTGCCTGGAATAAACTAATATTTTAATGAATCATAATTATCAACTTATGTGTTTGAAAAAGTCCAACATTGTGAATATTGCCTTCTGTACACAATCAGCTAAGGAACTGCTGTCTCTACCACCTCTGCCCCTGGGGAAGTGCAGGACTGAAGAAACACTTTTTTTCTCTTAATGCACATTGGTGAGTCAGCACAGAGATATTTCAGCTGCTGTTGTGGCTGCCACCTGCATGAGGCAACACAATTACTTTCCTTTACTAATGGCACCTAAAGAACATAGGGTTAGGATTCTCTGAGCTGTGACACTGAACTAAGTCAGACAATCTGGCTTCAGCTCCTAGATAGCTTTCAATGTTTATGTGAGAATTTGGAGCAGCTGTTTGTCTTCTCTGACCTTTTCTTTCTCCTTCCACCCTTGTTTCATTGTCTGGACAATAAATGTTTCAAAGCGGAACAGCCACTTAATCTAATGCTCACTGAGTACTTAGTACATGGAAGCTATACTGGGGTCTTTGAACAATGCAAAACCACTGATCATTCTTTACAGTGTGTTTTCTCTCACCTTGCCAGAGAATCTTGGTGTGTCTTCAGGTTGGGAGAGTTCAGGGTACACATTTGATATGAACCACTGGAAATTTCTACAGCCCAGTCTTTTCTGTAGCTGAAGGCGCTCACTGCAGTCTGGCTTCTCTGCCTTCGTGGAGAAAGGATGGGGGCAACAGGGTTACTAATGTGTTTGTGTTAAGAGATGTTAGCAGTGAAAATTACTACAAAGGAATTAATTCTACCACCTCTTCTGTCCTGTGTGTTATAGATATTGAGATATGTTTCTCAAGAGTACAAAAAGGAGGACCAGCTATAGCCTTCCTCCAACTTTGTGCTTAAACAGCATTTAGTCTGGCACTATGACAGAAGTAAATGTTTCAGAAGTAGCACACACTGTGAAAATAACTACTTTCTCATAAATTATTATTATACTGCAAGATAAGTCAGTCTTTGTCATCTTAAATTAAAAGTCATGGCCAAGCTTGATACCTGTTGCACTGAAATCAGTGCAATTGTATTAGATTGTCAGTCAGTACAGAGTTTGCCCCGCTGGTTAAAATTCAATTTCCTTACCTTTAACAGCCCAAATTCCCCAGCTATTGTCAGTCCTCCATGACCAGAGGATGTAAATGATGACAGAATTTAGCCCAAAATATAGTCTACCATATTAATATCTGACAGTTCCTAAATCTACTAAGTGAATGTGTTTTGTGGCTTTCCTGTGATTTATTTGTTTTCTTGAACTATATACACACAATATCAACGCTCACCCTTCTTGGTAGTAACTCTGTTCTGAAAAAAGACAGGTGCCTTCAACCTCTGCTGCAGCTATAGGCATCTGCACTGCAAAGGCCTGACCAACTGTTTGGGGGTATGTAGCACTGAAGATGGCTAACAGGGCTCTGAAAACCTCAAAGCAGGTAAGTGTCTAATCCTTCAGCTTCAAAACCTCATAAACCACTTCTCTCAATCCCTCAGTGCCCAACTACTAAAAATATCACCACCCTCAAGTGTCTCTTTCTTCTTTCTTGTCTGCAGTATATCTCCCCCTTCACATTTCTACTTTTTAATAACACAGTTTTGGATTCCAGAAAAACTGGTCTGGATTCCTACATGAGAAATTAAAACTGGTAACGTAAGAAAAGAAGTTTGCAGAAGTAACTTTTCCTGCATCCATAAGAAAGAAAAATGGGGCTGTGTGACATGTCTAGAAAGCACTGACAAATGATGAGCCTTGGACATCAAGGGAGAGGTTTCAGTTTAAAGGCAGGGATCAGTCATGCCATGCAGCACTTCTTTGCCAACCCCTGTAAGTTGCAATATAGAATCATGGAACGGTTTGAAATATGGTAAAGAGAACCTCACATTGTAGTATCAGTCTTCAGCTTCAATAAGCAACAAAGTTCAGCAATTTAGCCCCACACAAACCTGTTCCCAAGAGATTTCCTTGGAAAAGAGAAACAGAGAAGTAAAACACTTTGGTTAGAATGAGATGTTTCTCAGGAGTTTCTGCTTTGTCTGAAGAAGAAAATGGCAGGAAATCTTATTTTGTCATACTAGTTACAATCCGTATCTGATGCTGAGTAAATAATGTAAAGAAAGTCATTATTCCTGCAAAGAAATCTGAAAGGAAATTGTGCTTGTAAAATAAGTGAAAAAAACCCCAAACAACACATGAGGAAAGGAGAAAAAGATACAGTGGCTGACACAGTAGAGAGCTGGGAAGTGCCTTATTACCCATATCAGTGCTCATGCCATGGGCACGCTGTGCAGGATGCAGACCATAAACCGGGAAGGCTTAAAAAGCAAGGGGGTCAGTAGTTATTTTCTGCAGCGGGCTGGATCGGCGGAAAAGGCTGGCGGGGGTCTTTGTGGTGCCAACAGGTGGCTCCTCTCGCCCTCCCCGAGCCAGAAACCCCCGCAGGGCCCTGTCATTGCTGGCTTGTGTCTTTTGAATAACATCTCGCTGCACTGACAGACTGAAAATATTGGCTGTGAAAGAAAGGAACAGGGAAAAGGGCCTTTTATGTGATGGTATGCTGAGCACAGAGATCACCAAATTGATCAGTTGAAGGAGAATCATATTTAGGAGTACTGAAAGGATTCTGGCTTGAATAAACTCTGAGGCAAAAGGTCATGGTGCTTTGAGCTAGTAAGCTGTATCATTGATGGCTGTAATTTTTAGTATTGAAAGGTGCTTCTGAGTTGGCAAGAAAGGCCTTCAGGAAATGATTAAATTGTTTAAAGATATAACTGCCCATCTTAAATGACTTGGCCTAGCATCCTTCTTGGGATTGCATGGCTGAACCCCTTGTGACTCAATGGGTGAAATTCTGGCCAGTGGAGATCAAACAACACAGGTTGTTTTCTAAAAAGTGAAAATAGGATTAAAAAAGGAACGTAATTGCCTCGGTCTCTAGGATTAGCAAAGCAGGCTGACTGGACAGGCAGATCCACTGGTTAAATGTAGGGAGGCCAGACTAGGTGACAGCAGAGAAGCCACTCAGACATACAACCCTTTTCATCTCCCCCCTGCAATGCAGCTCCTGCTAGATCTGGTTTTCTTAGACACATGTTCAGCACTGCAACTACTAAGGCACACAGGACTGAAATGCAGTAGCAAAAAGGAATGGGAAACTCTGCACAGCACCTACCATGCTTTGCCTAACTGTTTTCAATTAATCTTTTTCTTCTTAAAATCATGGCATTGTCAAATAAACAAAAAGACGAATGACACGTGTTCATCCACAACTGCTCATAGATTTGTCCATGGCCTTGTAAAAGAAGACAAGAAGGACCTTTTCTTGCACCAAGGAAAGGTATTGAAGCTGTAGCAATGTTAACAGCTTCACATTAACAACATTAACCACAGCTGTATGGCTCCCAGTAAACAAATATCTACTGGTTTTTAATACATGGATATACAGTCCCTTGGATGATCCTGATCTGCAATGGATTATATAGTGGTTTAAAAACAAGTGTGGCTGTTCTGCAGTTGTTGGATGGAGTGTAGCCTGCAGACAGTTCAAATGTGGCTGCATGCCAGGGCTACACCACACACCTGGCTGCAAGCCTGTCTTAGTGTACAGGCTGCTGGGAATCCAAACCCCTGGAGGCTGGACTACTGCCTGTGCGATGCTTCTAATGAGAAAGTAACTTGTAAACAGTGGTTATGTTGAGATGTGACTTTCTCAACTACTGACAGTTGCTTCTGGACATCTGTCAGTTCACAAAACAAAAATAACCTTCTTGTCACTAGACCACTCAGATGTATTCCCTTCCACTAGGAGAGACACCACAGTTTGCCATATGGCCATGAATATTATTGAATATCCTAATGAATCACATGAGGAAGACCTTCAGTAATGAAGAATTAATCCTCTAGAAGGGCCCTTTGAGCACACAATGCTACTAGCTTCCACTTCTGATGGACTGCAACCCTTCATGTAGTATCAGTGGAAAAAATAAATCACAGCTTGTTGGGCAAGCTGAAGAAAGAGTCATTTGGAGAAGGAGAGTTGATAATCTAAGAGATCTGATAACTTCAGCAAGTAATGCCTAGGCACAAATTTAATTTCTTCCTTCCTGATATGACAGCTCTCCCACTGGAAGACTTCATAAAAATACTTTCCCCAGCATCATGCACATTGAATGTTTGACTGCACAGACACCTCCACCCCTATTTCACCCCCTTCACCTACCTTAATACATACTCCTTCCCTCATAAATGAACCACTACGCATTTATTTACCTTGCTGATTAGGAAAGCCACTGTGTCGTGCTTGTAGAAGTTCTCTTTAAAAGAGCCCAGCCAGGTCTCTGCTATTCGGATTTTGTTCCTCACAATGGCCTCTTCATAGGAGAAAGCATGGGGAAAGTGATTTCTATAGACATGCCCAACTCGGGAGCATGGAATAATTTCTACTGAGCCACCACAGAGCCAGGTCTGAAACACAGGTGAAGGCACAAAAAGAAATTACCTTACTCAGATTACCTTTCTCTGAAAAGAAGTTCCTTAACTACAGACTCCACATCAGGAAATCCTAATCTGCACATTGCTGGAAAAGGCAAGAACATTATTATGTGCTTCTTCATATAGATCTTCTCAACAGATACAGAGACACAGAGAAGGTGCTGGGTGATGCAGACCTTTGATTTGACCCAGCATGGCTATTTAGATGCCTTTATGTTTTTCTGTGCAACAACAGTGCAGTGTAGTGAAGAGATCTGGGGGCACACCTTCTTTTGTCTCAGACATTAATACCTCTAATACACTTTGTGTCTGCAATTTTCACTGCTTTTTAATATCAGTTAATCTCTGTATTCAGCAAAAATCAATACAAATAATTTAATATTAAAAATGGGCATTAAAACTACAGGTTGGCAAAGAAATAAAGCTGCTCTCCCTTTGGTGCATGTTACATGCCAAAAAAGAGGAGGCTTCCAGAAGGTGCCAAAACCAGTGACTCTGTCCTCGGGCAGCTAGTGATAGCCAGTGAAACTTCCTTCTCCTGAAATAATTCTCCTAGCTCACACCAGCTACATGTTCTTATGTAGTCCTGACAGGTCACAGAATGTGGGGATGTGATATTCTCCATAACCCAAGACATTTTGCACTTAACTGCTTAAATTGCTATTTGGCCTTTCATTCAGGTTCCTTAAAAGCCCAATAGTTACCATAGCTTGATCTTTTAATTAAGGTTCTTACCCTTATAGACAGTTCCAGATTTTCTGCTCCCCACATGGTCATGTCAGAATCATAAGCTCCAGTGTTTTGGAAGTAATGTCGATCCATGGCCACCACTGCACCAGCTACCACAGGACTCCTGTGTAGAAAACAGTTTGGAAGTGAACTCCTCAAGTTTTGGATATGGAATTAGTTGAAGGGTGAAAATCCCCCCATTTCCATGGAGATAGTATTGCAAAATTATTGAATACTACTCCATATAAGCTTGAATGAACTGATTACCCAACCAAAAGAAAGAACAACTGGATTATTCTAAGATTTGCTTGGGGAAGGGAGCCAAGAGCTGAATTATCAAATAAGGCTCAGAACAGTGGAAACTGTTACTTACATGTACACCCAAACCAAAAGTCAAACAGATAATGATTGAAACGTCTCTTATGACTCTGCATAATCCATCTTCTTTTTTCCCTACACACCTCATCTGGCAGGTCACATACCAGTTGTCTCAATGTGTGGAAAATATTTGTCATGTTGTAAGTACAACTGCAATCTAGTTAGAATGATTACTAAAGGTCAAGCAAACTCAGTGTAAACCAAAAACCTATCCCTTCAAATAATGTTAATCAAGTATATGCAAGTAACCACATCTCTCTTCTGTTAGCTGGAAGGTGACCCAAATGGTATAGTTTTGCTGCTGAGCTGAGTGGAGGCATATTGGCTGAAGGACTGTTACCTGATAGGGCTGATGGGAGACTGTCGTACCTTCTCTTCATGCTCTGGCACTGGTTCCCAATGAAAATCTAGTTTCCAATCAAAAACACCTCGATGCAGGCCCACAGAGTGATAGTACTGAAAAGTCTTCCAGTCTATGACATCTATGACAGGGGAGACGACGCTGTTTCTGAAAAAGACAATATCATTTATAGAATCATAGGATACCAGGTTGGAAGGGACCTCAAGGATCATCTGGTCAAAAAACCTCCTTGGCAAAAGCGACAGTCTAGACAAGATGGCCCAGCATCTTGTACAGCTGAATCATAAAAATGTGCAACGTTGCAAATCCACAACTTCCCCTGGGAGATTATTCCAATGGCTGATTGTTTTAATTGTGAACATTTTTCCTCTGTTGTCTAATCAGAATCTCCCCAAGAGCAACTTGTGCCCATTACCCCTCATCTTCTCCATGTGTCTCCTTGTAAAAATGGAGTTTCCATCTTCTGTATAGCCACCAAGTACTGGAACATGGTGATGAGGTCTCCCCTAAGCCTTGTTTTCTCAAGTCTGAACCAAGTCGAAGCACAAATTAAGTTCATCACTCTGTTAGTAAACGGGTTCTCTAGTTTGACACTGTAAAGCACAAGCACTCCTCTAGATGTTGAGTGCCCTTGTTTTCCCTGCTGATAGAAGCTCAGGTGCTCAGTGCATTGGGATACTGAGCCTGCAGTGAGGAACCTAAAGATCAATAATTTATCAATAACCTGTAACTTGCATTGTCATTTAAAGCCATTCAGGAGTTTGCTATGAGTTAACCATCAGAATTCTTATAAAGATGTTTCATACAGAGCCCACAACCTCTGATGTTACAGGCTGTGCATGGATGCAAGATTTATAGCAAAGGGTTATTTTGGCCTCACACACTTCACCATCCTTTGATTTTCCTGTAGTATTTTTCACACACTTCATGAGTTTGTCACTTCAGGCCACTGAAGAGTGCACTCACCCTTATTTTCTTCTGCTGGTTATTTTGCAAAAACATATATCACTGAGTTCATAAGCCAGTTTCTGCTTGTATTTTATCACAGCTTAAAATGCTCTTGCAAATGCACTGTCACGGTGTGGAATCAACTTTTAAGAGCCAGAATAGAGCCATTGAACCATAAGCAGGAATCCTCCAATGCACTTCTAACATGAGGTAAATTTAGATTAGTCTGAGAAGAGGTATTAGACATTTCCCCATGGCAAACGTCTCATGGTATTTCACAGTGTGCTTGTACATCATCTTGGAATTAACTGGTAGTTCAGAAGAGCCATCAGTGTTCCTTATTTCCAGGTCAATGATGTATCACATTTGGAAATGTTCAGAGTATAAATACAATGGTACTGGGGACTGTAGGGAAAAAAATTATGAAGAACATCGTTATCCAATTCTTCTCTGTTATGCAAAACCAATAGTCCTTGGTTTAAGTGTAAGGGCTTGCCTACAGACAGATGGTTCTCTGGAGGAAAATCAGTAACATGTACTTGGGATTACAGTACACTGAAATAAAAGAATATTGTTCTAGAGTAAGAGTATCCGTATAGGAAATTATTCT